CAAAAAGCCCGCCGTAACATTTGAACTGGTGGGCAATGATTTTGCTGTGGACGTGTCGACGATCCCGACACGCGGCATCGAAGTGTACAAAGGCATCAACCAGTTTGCCAAAGAGACCACCAAATTCAACAGTGGACCGATCACGGAGCCAGTGCCTACTACGACTGACGGCTGCAACACATGCGATTGGTGTTTCATCCCTGGGTTGAACTCCTGCTTTAGTGAATTTACCAAGAACGAATGTGTCGTTCAGAACGCCGAATACGGGGCTTTATGGTGTGTGGAGATCAGGACCAAGAAATAATACTACAATATTAGCATCCATTTGAAATATGGTATGTTGTTAATAGAATCGTTGGATTCGGATGTATATATTAGAGATCCGAGTGAATCACTCACGCAGAAATCGCGGTACAAATAACTGTAAGGTCCACCCTCTCGGACGTAGCCATTTTTGGCCACGCGTGAAGAAGGGAAACGTCCAAACGAAACGAACACAAGCGGAGGTTTAAGCAGTAACATTATAACGTTAGAAAGCTGGACTAAAGATTTCGAAGTATTGACAGTACGTGGGGATTTAAACCAACAACACCTTCACAAGACGATGCCAAAATCTACCGCGCTTGCCACCAGGAAAATGCCAACTACATTCCGTCCCTTAATGCCGGAGAGTACTCGACTAGTGCGTTCCACAACTGCTTCCGCACTATCGACCAAATCTACGAGTTCACCGATGCCTTGGTCGTCCAAAACCCGACGTTGCTGAGCAAATTTCTCATCTCCAAGACGTACAAGGGGGCCATAATTTACGGGTACAAGCTGACCAAGGACCACTCTCAGTAGCTGTACTTTTAAGCCCTACAACACTCCCGCGAATGGATCTCGGGGTCGTCGATTCTGTTTTCGTTCGCGTTGATTCTGGATGATATTGCCAAGAATAGACCCACGGCCACCGACGAGTACGACTTGTACTTTGTACCGGTCGTCAACATTGACGGCTATGAGGTCTCGTGGGAGGAGCACTATCGGGCCCAGCGCAAGAGTTTCAACCAGGTCGACTTGAACCGGAACTGGCCGACTCCCTTCGAACACCCCAACCCCCCCGCCATCTCGGCCGCCGATTACCCCGGTCCGTCTGCGTTCAGTGAGCCTGAAACTGCGGGCATCAATGAATGGCTCATATCCAAACGCAGTGAAATCCAAGGGTTCATTGACATTCACGCATACGGGGGGTACATCTTGTACCCATATGGGGACACCAAGGAGCCCATCGGCGGGGGGTTTGACGAGAAGTTCGACGTCCTCGGTCGTGGATTGCAAAGCGTCATGGGGGCATACACCCCTGGACCGGTGGCCAAAACATTTTACTTCGCGTATGGAGTTTTCTCAGATTACGCGTTCCGCGAGTTCAAAAAGCCCGCCGTAACATTTGAACTGGTGGGCAATGATTTTGCTGTGGACGTGTCGACGATCCCGACACGCGGCATCGAAGTGTACAAAGGCATCAACCAGTTTGCCAAAGAGACCACCAAATTCAACAGTGGACCGATCACGGAGCCAGTGCCTACTACGACTGACGGCTGCAACACATGCGATTGGTGTTTCATCCCTGGGTTGAACTCCTGCTTTAGTGAATTTACCAAGAACGAATGTGTCGTTCAGAACGCCGAATACGGGGCTTTATGGTGTGTGGAGATCAGGACCAAGAAATAATACTACAATATTAGCATCCATTTGAAATATGGTATGTTGTTAATAGAATCGTTGGATTCGGATGTATATATTAGAGATCCGAGTGAATCACTCACG